CGCACTATTTCTAACCTAAGGAGGGTAACACAGTGGTTGTTTACAGTCATTGGAGAAGTGTGGGGAATTCAAGGAACAGGAGAAATGTTTGCAACAAGGCAGTGACTTACCTCAACTTCACAGTAACTAGAGCTCATAAGGAGATAGTACACAATACAAAATGCTATACTTTGCCAAGCAACACAAGGTTGAATGGCTGACTGGCACACTGTATTTGACTAGCACATTGTATTTCTCTAGGTTCAAGACTTCTGGCACCCAGGTTTCTGATACACTGTCTCCTTCACCTTTTGCTGACCAGAGAAGTCAATATTTGATCTTGCCTATGAAATATAAATAGCACACAACAAGCAGCAGAACAGGAAATGGGGATAGAAGGTGGAAGGTTAGCTTGGAGGTCCCAAGTAGACCAGTGGTAATCAACCTATCTGGCTCTATGGGCTGGATAAGATAAATGGTGCAAAGCCCATCCACAGACCAGATCCAGCATGGGGTCAGTCCATGGTTGCAATCACCAGCTAGTAAGCCGATGTCTCTACCCAGACTATGAGTCTTAACATATATAAACATTATATTAATAGCAGCAATGAGAAATTATAAGAATTATTATATATTGTTTCCTTTGTAAATACATCATATTGCCAGCTCCATGCAATTTCTGTGTATTTACTCCAGCATTGGAGATCTGTTTCTGTTTGCCTGAATATTAAAAAAAAAGAGTTTCTGGCACACAAGGTTGCAAAAGAATACTGTCAGCAAATGAAAACAGCGTAAGACCATGCTATTATCGTCCTGAGTCTGCATTCATAGTCCAGCAGCTCCAGTCTCAGTCTCTGGATACTCATAGCTTTCCCAGATGAATTTAGCAAGAATGTGGTCAAGTCTATTACAAGCCAGATTCCCCTCTTTTACAGAGGCTGATTAGCAAAACTGCAAAAGGCAGACTATGGAGTTGTTTGAGGGGAAGGAAGTGTCTGGGGGAGCGGCAGAGCAATAGCCAGCACGATACCCTGGGTCTAAGGAAAAGAGTAACAGAAATGCTCTCCCTTTCCAGAAATCTTGGTTCCTTCCCTTTTCAGCAGCTAGGAGGTCTAGATTTTTAAATACAGCAAACTACTGAAAAAGTGTGACACAGAGCAAAGGAAGAGCAGCTTGGTGGAAGTTCAGCAGCTAACAGGGGTGATGGTCACTGACTCTTCTCATCAGAGCATTGTCCCCAGCTGCTGCTAGTTGCTCACAACTCGGAGATCTCTGTTTGACAGGTTAAGCATTCATCCCTCAAATGCATGGTAAATGTTGCAAGTCCAGAGAAAGGTAAGGTGGGTGTTAGTCTGAAAACAGGGCCAAAAGCAGAGGGCAATGAAAATGGTTAGGAGGCTACGGCACACAACTTACAAGGAGAGACTGAGGGAACTGGGTTTATTTAGTTTAGAGAAGAGAAGACAGAGAGGATTTAATAGCAGCCCTCAACTACCTGAAGGGGGGTTCAAAAGAGGATGGAGCTAAACCATTCTCTATGGTGTCAGATGACAGAACAAGAAGCAATGGTCTCAGGTTGCAGCAAGAGAAGTTTAGGTTGGATATTAGGAAAAACTCTCATTAGGAGGGTAATCAAACAGTTACCCAGAGAGTAATGGCGACATGTAGGGGGTGCATGGAGGTGCACATGCACCCCCTGACAGGTCACACTCCCCACATATGTGATGGGCAGGGGGGGCAGGCGGGAGCACTGGTGCCCCCCCTGTGAACACTGGCCAGGGAGTGGAAGGCGCTGGATGAAGCTCCGTGGCCACTTCCTGGTCAGCGTGATCAGCAGTGGGAGACCGACCCCGGTCAGCGAGATTGGCCACAGGGGGACCCCCCTGCTGTCTGACTGGTTGCTGGGGGGGGGGGCACATGGCCCCTCTGACTAAGGTGGCACCAGTCTCCTATGCCAGAGAAGTGGTGGAATCTCCATCCTTGGAGGTTTTTAAGACCTGGCTAGACAAGGCCTTGGCTGGGATGATTCAGTTGGGGATGGTCCTGCTTGGAGCAGGCGGTTGGACTAGATGACCTCCTGAGTTCTCTTCCAACCCTCATTTTCTATGATTCTATGAAAGCACAGTAGAGTTGCACCTTGTAGAAAACTGGATGAGAGATGCAAAAGCTTTTGTGAGTAGCAGCTCACTTCATCTGCTGCTCACAAAAGTTCATGCATCTCAAGCCTAGGTTAAAGTGGATGCAGCCAAAGTGGACACACCAGAACTGCAATAAGCATCTTCCAAAAAATGGAGCAAATTACTGAACAGCTGAAGACAACCCTTTTGCTTTCTACCTGAGGAAGAGGCAGCACAGCATTACAAGGCAAAAAATATTAAAAGGTGTAATGCTATGAGGAAGGATGCAGAAGCAATGTTCCAGTTACTGTATTGGTTAAGCAAAGTTAAGTGTTGTGTCTTGGTTTATTTACTGGGTTTTGTTCCCAGCTCTACCAGTAGCTACCAAACCTAAATGGCCCTTAACAAGCTACTTTCTGTTCCTCAGTTTCCCCATATGTGAAATGGGTATAATGAATTGCACCTCACATGTAAAGCACTTGAAGATCTAGTGATGAAAAGTTTCATAGCATTATACCTAGCTTTCTGAAGTAAGTAATTTTCTAGTACCAATACTACAATACACTGTTTGTTAATGTAATGGGTATCCTGTAGAGTAAGCCAGGACACACAGATTACTTCAAAGCTTTGCATTTGGTAAATACACTCTGTAAACTGGGGGTAAAAAGTTGAAAATTCTGGATTTTTTTTTAATTTATGGAAACAGAAAAAACTCCCAAAAGGGGCCAACAAAAAAAGATATTTTAGGAAAATGAAGTGAAAAGGATTTGATTCCTGTCAAAAATAGAGAAAAATAGAGAACAGCAACATGACAGTGCACAGAACAAAGGGAAAAGTTGATTATTATGCAGAAGTGTACTTTTCTAAATTCATTTCAGTAGTGGTATTTTAACCAAAATAAGTCTTCTTTTAAGAGACCCTAACCTAGTAAGATGAGTGTCCTCCAAAGATGTAATTTCTCTGACAGGAAGAAATTATAAATGAAGAATCACAGCGTCTTTTTAATTTAGACAGAAGGGAAGCAGACAGTTCACAGATATTTAGTCCATCACAATATACTGTGTCATAATATGAGCTTGATTCTTCCCAAGTTATTAACAAACCACAATGTAATAGACAGCAACAGTACTGTACCCCTGGGACACATCATTTATCTCTGCCTCTACAATTAAATACTATACATCTAAACCGAAATTAGCATGCCTGTTTTTTAAAGTACATTTAGCCAAGATAAGTAACAGAAAACAGGCTGCAAAGATATTGTTACAAAGTATAGAAATTATGTTAATAGCACAGCTCTCTCATAAAGTTCTGATAATATTGAACTTCTGTCTGATCTTAAATTGCGGAGTTAAAGAATCACCGTACAGGGATGTATTCTCAAAATGATTTTCAAACTAAAACTATGCTGGAAACCAATCACCATTTTCTGTTATCAAAAATATGGAAAAGGATGAAAGAAAAATATGGAATCCCACAGACTCAAATCCTACCATCCCACCAAAGTTACACATGACCTATTAGAGAAGTTCATCAAACACAGAAGTAGAGGAAAACTTAGAGTGGCCATTAATTAAGCCTTCCTAGCCTTTAATAATTAATACAAAGAATATGTGATATGCTTATAATTCCTTTGTATGTGGACAATTACTGATACTAGAACATTTTTACTCTAATGACTTGGTCACTTGAAGCCAGCTTGGCTCTGAAGGATCCAAAAGTCACCTCACCTTTAAAAATACAGGTTTGTGAGCCTAGCGGCGTACACTGGAGGTGGATGAGTGTGCATGTACCTAAGGCATGGATTTGTGCACTGACCAGGTGGGTGTGGGTGTGTCCAGAGCAAAGACATGTGTACTCTCTTGCATGCACTGGAGAGGGGGATGTGCATGTACCCAGTCCAGAAGTGTGTGCACCCAGATCAGTGCACTAGGGAGGTGGGAGTGCTCATGTCCAGTGCAGTGGTGTGTGCTCAGATCCATGCACTGGGGCGAGGTAGGTGTGTGCTTCCAGGTGTGTATACCGAGTAGGTGGGTGTGCACCCAGATCCATATGCTGGGGTGGAGGGAAGGGGAGGGGAGAGGTTTGCAAGTATCCATTGCAGAGGTGTTTGATCCCAGGTGTATGCACTGAGCAAAGGGGAGGTAGGTGTGTGTGCACCCGGTGGAGGCACGTTCATCTAGATGGATGTACCAGGGGAGAAGGCTGCATGTGTACCCTGAGCAGAGCTGTGTGCACCCAGATCCATGATGGGGGAGCAGGGAAAAAGGTGCATGTATAGTAAGCCTAGGTATATGTGCTGAGCAGGTGGGTCCATGGATCCTGGGGGAGTGGAGGGGGCAGGTGTGTGTGTGTGTGTGTGTGTGTGTGTGTGTGTGTGTGTATATTTAGTGTAGAGGCGTGTAAGCACAGGCGTGTGCACTGAGCACTGGGGCAGGTAGGTGTGTGCGCACCCAGTGGAGGCATGTGCACCTAGATGCAGGCACCGGAGAGGCAAATGTGCATATACCCAAAGCAGAGGTGTGGGCACCTAGATGGCAGTCACCAGGGGGAAAGCTGCATGCGTACCCAGTGCAGAGGCATGTGTGCACCCAGAAGCAGGGTGAGTGTGCCTGTAGCTAGGGCAGAGGCATGCATTCCCAGGTGTGTACAGGGAGCAGGTGGGTGCCCGCCTCCCCAGTGCAGAGGTGTGTCCAGATGGTGGGGGAGAGGGCACGTGTGTGCACTCGGGAGGCCAGCATGCAGTTGTGCCCAGCCAAGATCCATGTACGGGGGAGGCAGGCAGGCAGGCGCGCGCATCCCAGGTGCTTGTGACAAGGCGGTGCGCCGTGGTGTGTGCCCCGCGCGCCCTGCCTCGTCCCCTCCTGCCCTGCCTTCGCGCCCCGGGGCAGCGCCCGCACTTACCGCCGCCTGCTGGAAGGCGCCCTTGGTGTAGGTGCCGCCGCCGCGGTAGGTGATGGAGGGGATCTCGTGGCCGAGCAGGGCGCACTTGTGCTGGCGCGGCCGGCGGCGGGAGATGTAGTCCACGCGCGCCGCCACGTTGGCGCGGGACGAGAAGGGCACGATGGCGACGCGCGTGGCGGCCGGCACGACGGGAAAGGCGGACAGCAGCTTGCGCACGAAGCGCAGCTCGGCCTGGAAGTTGGCGGCGCCCACGCTGGACGACTCGTCCACCAGGAAGAGCAGCTCCAGCAGCCCGCTGCGCTCCCGCAGCCGCCGCACCTGGCGCCGGAAGGCGCGGCCCAGCTGCTCCACGCGCCCGCCGCCCGTGCCGT